GAGAACTCACCCTTGGCGATAAGGAGAGCTAAATTTAACCAAGAAAGTAAATATGAAAAAAGTTGAATGGTGAATGCTAAGTGTTTAACAAGTAACTGGGAAATACTAAAGACGGTGGCGATTATGAATATAAAATATTAGATATAAAGTCAGCTGATAATCATATATACGAGGGGGTGAGCGCTCTGGAAAACAGTCAAAAGGTCAGTTTGGTATCTGGAATGCTGAAAACTTCTATAAGATTGGTGAGTTTAAAATTCTCTAAAGAATAAATAGACGTAAGACCTTGTCAAGCAGTGCACAATTTCAAGCACTTTCCAATCAGTTACACATTTGAATTGATCAAAAGATTTTTAGCTGAGGATGAGAATGGCAATGCTTTCCAAGTTAATGGTCTCGTAATCGCAAGAAAACAAACGGTGATGATTGAAAACCGATGACTAAAACGAGTGAAAAAAAGAATAGGGGCTTGGTCAAAGTCTCTCAATCCTTCGATAGAAAGCGTAAAACAAGATTACTTATACTCTTCGTTGAAATAAGTATCTTTCATATTTCAGTGACTCAAAAACCCACATTAGCAACTGCTAAAATAAACAGGATCCACTATTTTGGCTGAAAAAGGTAAATTTTCATAAAATACAAAAACTTAATTGTTTATCTTAGCAGTGGCTAGAGTGGCCTTCAAAGTCAGTCCCAGCTTTTACAACATGGAACAATTAGTCCCTTTTAAATATCTAGATAGTGTAATCAAAAGACAAAGTTTATATGAATAATGTGATGTATTTGTGCACTATATTTCAAACAATCTGATCCCGAATTCGCTTGTCAAGTCAATTTATATTAAACCGAAGAATGGAGTGAAAAGGTAGAACAATTAAGATAATAGGGGATTAATATTAGGAAAGATGAAAACAAAATGGAAGTGACACAGATGATCCTAATCTTTGTAAGAGAAAAAGGTTTACTAGGGAAGGTGCGGTGTAAGAACGAATTGCTTTTGTATGCACTAGGAAGGTTTTGATTTGTGCATGGCTGTTGCTTCTGCGAATCTTGATATGCGTCCCCGACTGTTTCTACACAAAACTTTGAAAGCTGTGTGAACACATTAATTTTGTGCCCCTTTTTTCTATGTGTAACTATTGTAGAAGAGGGTCATCTCTCCCCTACGCTTACCAAAGTTTCACACTTCAACCGTACCATACCTCAACTACATGGCTCAATAACTCCTCTTTACATATGTGTGACCGTAAGCACATGTAAACTGGGAAGTGAAATAGGATACTGGGTGATTGTTGAAGGTGAGATGGAAATTTGGAAAGTGGCAGGATTCGAATTAGCCATCACCAGGATATAGTGTAGTCACTGATACAGTGTGTAGCTTAGTAATGAAGCATGCACTCTGTTTTTTCCGCAATAACAAGCCTAGCTGCATAATATATTATCCTAATGGCTTATATTTGCCTACATCTTAAAATCATGCTACTCAACTACCTTCTGTGTGACATAGCGATATGGAATCATGTATTAGATCGGATGAAAACTGTGAAAATTCAGAAATTGTCTTTTTCACATAGAGTTTCCGAAGACTGACCGTCTTATTGAACCATATTTTCATCGACTGAAGAGTATGTCTAAGAATAGTAGATGATTATTATTCGTTCCTACAAGTCAGGCTGATTTGACTTTTTATAGTGTTTATTCTTTCTAGTAAATAAACCATATACTTATGCCTCTCACAAATCACTATGATATCATAAACATAACTCCTGTAAGGGGAAACCTTAATGATGAGATCACCAGCCAGATTTTTGATATGATACATAAATATCAGCTATTAATGGTCCTAAGAGATAATTTATAGCAGTAACATCAACTTGTTCAAGGATTTACCTTCAAATGTGAAATGAATCTCGTCGGCACACAGCAATAATAGTTTACTTGTTTCCGGCCAAATCACATCAATAATAATTCCCTTAAAAAAACTAAAGTAATAGGGAATGGGAGGTTTCTAGAAGAAATGAAGTCTCAAAGAACGTTAATAGTCGTGGGTAACGACATGTTAGTGAATAAAGAATTTACATAAAAGGAGTAAATAGACTATTACAACTCCCTAGCAAAATATGAATGTATGAGGAGCTTTAATTAGCCCGCTTATGTTGAAGAACCGGAGATAGTATGTCTCAAGGAGTAATGAGCTGACTTCTCTAAAAATATAAATCTACTGAAAAAAGTGGTATGTGGCATACAGTTTACTTAGTTGTGATTTGGCTGAAACAATGCGACATTCACTGATATGAAAGTAAGCCCACCTAGTCGTATACTATAGTATATGCGTCTCACAGGAGAGATAAAATAGTGTTCAAATGCTTACAGCATGCTTATTTAAGAGTCACATCACTATTTTATGATAGACAGCACTGTCTTTAACAGAAATGTAGTTTTTGGTCCTGTTAAAGACGTTGAGATATGACTTCATGAAAAATACCTCCTTCAATTTTTAGAAGGAAGCAACAGCAAATCCCCACCTACTCTCGTCAGTTTAATTTCAAAACCGTTTATAAATAAAATCAAAAAATCACTATCTCAAAAAAATATGTTCCAGTCACAACTTAATTCACAAACAGCTATTGTCGATCTACCTGTTAAGCATCAGATCACAATCTTTGGGCATTTTTGTGATAGAAAAACAATATAAGCACTTAATGGACAGTTGTTCTTTCATCAAGGAAAACTGCGTTCAACTGCAAATAAAAGGATTTTGCCTAATTTAATAATGAGATGAAAATGTATTTGCGCAATGCATATCAAACAACCTGATCCCACCTAATTGCATTGTGTTCTCTGAGCTGGGTTATTTACTTGTTCAAGCATTTTTATTTAGAAAGGAAAAGTATACTGGGATAAGGCAAATAAATAAGTAGAATGCGAGATTTGAAAATTAAAGGATGGTGAAGAGAAATAATCTATTTTCACACGTCCCTTCGTATTAAAATGAGGTAAAGATTACCAAGGAAGGTTTAGGGTAAGGACAAGTTATTTTTCAACACACATAGAGGGTTTGAACCTTGGCATATCTACAAATATCGCTTCAAAAACGGTTGTAGTGTGAAACTTTGGAAAGCTTAGGGGAGAGATGACCCTCCAGTGTTCATCCACACAGGTTTCTTCAGGGATGTTCCTCGATATCTCACATTTTGTCTTGATGGCTGATCTGAAGATTTTCTTTGTGGTTTCGTCCTTCAGTTCGGTTTCCGAGTGTTTTATTTGAACTGTGGTTTACCACCAACTTCCTTGAAGGCTTTTAACTTGATTTGGAAGGTTCCTTGCACTAGATAGTGGTCCCAGCCTACATCTCCTCCTCTTCTTCACCTTGTGTCAAGTAGGCTGACTGCGTCTCCACTTTCTTCACATTGAGATGAAGTCGATCTAATTTTCAGTGTAGTGTGTCCTGGTGTCTGGTGAAATCGAATCCATGTTGCTCGCTTTGTGGATATCCTTGTGCTTGAACACACTGCCTGACCTCCAATCACTAAATCGTTGAATGCACAGAATTCTGCAAACAATTCCCCATTCTTGTTCATCACTTCACCGAGCGCTTCTTGACCTATGGTTAGTTCTCTTCCTATGTTGTCCGCTCCCAGTTTGGCATTCATGTCGCCCACCCATTAGAATTTTGATATCGCCAACTGAAGTGGAGTCTTGTCCAGTGTTGATTACAGTTGTCTGTAGAATTCCTACTTTTTCTCTTGATCTGCATTATTTGTAGGTGCACAGTGTAGCATTGTATGATTGTGACCTTTCTTCCTTTTGAGTTGAACCTTTCTGTCATGATCCTGGAGGAGATTAGTTAATTTCCACTACCAGCAAACAAAAATAAATAGCATCTTAGAAACCAATTTTATTGAGGCTATAATACTTTCCCAGACATATACCCACCGATAATTATACTATCGAACCTGGATGTTGAGTTGTTACATTGGAACTAAAGAAAAAATTTTTCGGTCTGAGGCTTTTCAGTAAAATCCACCTAGATTCATGTTAATTTTCTATTAAAAAGCGGATTTAACGTGCATCACTCTGGAAGATAATGTTATCCATCAAGATTTTGAGTAATCACAACCAACTCTTTCTTGTTCAATGAGTGAAAGATTAGAATATTGATTCGAAAACTTATGGCATCTTATAGATGAAACATAATTGTGAAATTTCAATAAAGTAGAAAAAGAAATTTCTGACGTTACACAACTTCGTGAAAGTCACTTTTTCACAAAATAAACCACATACAAGTTATCAAACTTTTTTACTTACTGTTTAAAATTGGATAACTTATATAAGGTTCACTCACTAAAGAAATGAACCCTATGAAGTCTCGAAACTTCAGAAATTAATTTTTGTTCCCCTCATTGGGATTTTATAAATATATTTCATTTATAATGCATTTACCAAGTGCTCAACTTATTCCACTCTAGCTGATCAAATTTTGATCCTAAAGTTTACATTATAGTATCTTAGGTATACATTTCTGCAACAGGACGAGACTTTGACGTATCAGGCTAGTTTAAATGCTCTTTATCGTTATTTATGAAAAGAGTATAATTACACTACTATCTAAGTATTAAAACTTGTGAAGTCGATGAATAGATTTTTAGTTTGTTTATGAACAGACAATGTTAATCAGTGTTTCAGTCATCTCACTTCGTCTATTTGTACGTAATTTTATTTTTTATAAGTTTGAAATCTTCAAAATTTTAACATACTACTGCAACTTATGTTTTGAACACTTTTTGGTTATGTATGTACAAAACTTTTAGTTCAACTAGACTGAAGTAAAAACTTGTAGAGAAGTGCCTTAATTCAACCGATTTTTTTACAGTATGGGAAGACATGACTCCAGTGAACGCTAATGATGAACCTGTTAATAATATCACATTCTCATTTGTGATCATCAAAACATCCACCTACTAATGGTTATTTTATTTTTACCCATTTCATTTTGTCAGATGGCTACAACTCATGTTTCATGAAGCCGATTCAACTAATCAAGGACATTTAAGTGAATTTGAAGTAATCCGTCTAATCAGATCAATTAATCCAAGTTTATCTTCAACACATCTAAGGCATAAATTAAAGGTAGGTTATGCAAACATATTTATTATTTAATTGTATATGTTCAATTTTATTTTGACGATCTAATATAGCCGCGGTTTGGCAAACTAGTTTTTTCTACTCAGTAATGATTGAAGATGAAATAGAAATTTAGACTACGGCCCGATTCGAACCAGTGGTCACCGGGTTTGTAGTTCGATGCTCAGCTGGTAGAGCATCACCCAGTATATGTTCATTTCAGTACACTGAATAGTCCCGTTCATATATCTAAAAAAGGACTGTTTGAGTGAAGAAATATATTCCTTTTCAATTAGGTCTTTGTCTTGGGCTCTACACTGAACACTCATGAAAAATTACTCCATTTACCTAAGAATAACCTGCTTCATATTCTGAATTTTAATTACTCTATTGATTATTTACATCTCAATTTCTAAAACATCATCTTCATGACTTACTTGGAATGTTTAATTATTGTTCACCAACCCCTCACCACTTGATTGAATTGTAAAACTATATATTAGTGTAGAGCCCAAGACGAAGACCTAATTAAAAAGGCATATATTTCTTTGCTCAATCTTTTTTTCTAAATGTTCATTTGTCAATAGTTATTTGTTTAGACTAGAATCTTTGATTACTGACCTTGTGCCAAAGCCAGAATATTAGGTTTTATGTTCATTTTGTGTCTTCGTATCATATATTAAGGCAAGCATTAAAAATTAGCATAAATACCATCTTCAGGTTATCGGAAGTCTCTTTAAAGTCTAAAGCTTGAGTCCAGTCAAAATCATGAAACTGAGTAGTTTGTGCTGCCATTTTCATATAATTTATTCATAGGTGCTTTTTAGAAGCATATTTGTACATGGCTCCACTGTTTTTGAGAATACATTAGTAAAGTACATGAAATCAATGACTTAAGACTTTCGCGATTAAACGCCAATGCAACAACATAGATTTCTAGAGCTTACCTAAATAACCTCATAGTATATTGTAATGAAAAATTGACTTGTTAGTTGTTTTCTTATCTCTCACCAATCATCCAAGTGACAGTCCCTTCTTGGGTGTTCTTGGATGGTACATTCTCCTGTTTATTCGTGAAATAGCTTGACTATTATCCATTGTCATTAGCAGACATCAGCCCGCATTTACTAATTGGCTTTTCATTGAGGCCTCAGAAAATCTATCTTGAAGGGGATCATTAGCGACCAATTGACTACAATCAAATTTGAGATATTCGCTGGATTTATAGATTTCTAACTAAGATTAGAAAGTTGTCCAATGCTTTCAGATTTTCGTTGGTTCTACATCTGACTTGTATCAATGATGGAAACTGCTTAAATTTGAATCAGTGCCCACGAAGCCAGTGGGTTGATATATTGTTCTCTTGACTGAATGGGTACTGAAAATATCAAACGAATGGTTCATAACTTTAACTGGATGGTATATGAGAAGTTAACCTATTTGGAGTTAACAAGCACCACAGAGTGCCAATAACAAAATAACTAGTGAGAAGAAACAAGCACTGAACAGCTCTTTGCCCTATTTTAGATCTACTGATCGCAGTATCAAACAGTGATATTTGAAACATTTATAAAGTTGAATTATTAAAACTCAGGAAATCTCTTCCTCACTACTATCTGATGTTTGCTAGCTCTCAAATTGACTTTACTTAGTCTAAGATCGAAGCAATTTGAAACTGTTCAGTTCACCAGGAACTGCCTAAATGGATGAAAAACCTATTCTGACTATTGATTGAATTCAATGCAAAAAGCACCTTGAATCACTTATTAGAAACATTACCTTGAGAAGTGAATTAGTTCAACACTGAATTCAAGCATCCATCGAAGACACTTTAAGGATAATTGGCTGAGGTCATAAAATACAGGCAGTTGATCTCGAAATAAGTGGTTCAACTATTGACTGCTGTCTGTGACACCTGGCAGTTTTAGATGCCGGGTCTATATGTGGTCAACGGTGTTGGTAAGTGTCAGGGAAGGAAAACAGACTTCCAGTAGTCAATTTTTTTTTGGAGGTTTACAAGCTGATGTTGTCCTAGAATGCCATCTACCCTCAGAATGAGACTAACATTTCTTACAAAAAATTCACTGAAACTTCGATTAAAGCATTTTAATAAATAGTTCTTTATTTACACAGAGAAAATAAAATTTTCCGTTCATCTATTTATTGATCGATAACTGATTAAAAACAAGGAATTTTTCACTTCACATTTGTGTGTAACAAAAGGAATGAATGACGTTCATCCGTATTTATGCATGTCTGTTAGTTGATTCTTCCTAAATATTTAAATTTATAAGAGATAAGGAATGATGCTGTTGCTTGTATCCTCTTTTATCATCTGTCATACTTATAAAATTGAAACGTGGCATCTGCTTAGGAGCCTATATGCCAATAGAGGTCGATCAGTTCGCTCTAGTCAACGACGAGATAATACAAGCAGCAACATAAGAATTACAACCCTAGCACGAGACGTGGTTATCGTGACTCGGTGACCTAGTGGGTAACGCTCTGGTGTGTGAGGCAATTAGTTTCAGGTTCGAGTCTTAGTGTAAACAACACCACTCCATGAGAAGCAGATGGACTCGGCTGGCGGGTCTCAGATGAGACAGAATGAGCGTCCTGAGTCTACTGCTTACGACTGTCTATCGTTACTACAACTATCGATAATCATTAATAAATTACGATTTTACAACTCCCATGCATTGCTGTGCAGTAAAGTATTCCAATAGTTCTGTTAATAAGCAGGAATTCGAAGTACGTTCAGTGGGCTCTCTCTCCGCAATGTGTTTACTTGTAGCCTAGAAAACCCTACTTAAAAATTATTGTCTGGGAATATTTATTTCACGGAAACTTGAAAACGTTTTCAGATAGCACATAATAGTATATACTATGTGAGCAAATAATCTAAGATGTCTCTAATGAAACTAGGAATAGCTGGTTACGCAGACGCTTTGAAGTTATTCTAAACACAGTTTGATTTGATGGAACGAAGAATATTCTTCTCAATAACTTCTTCAAGTCCTACACAATGTCCACATTATTTAATTTTACGTTAATAATATTAAGATTTCGATTGAAAGTTTGTTAACGATATTATGCAGTTGAGGAATCCTCTTCAGTAAAGCCTTTTGTAAACGTTAAGTCAGAACTAATTATTACAAGAATTAAATTCAAAATAAGTGATTAATTAAGCGGTTATACGGCTTGTGTAAAGCCATAAGGCTGTGGTTTAATAAAACAATTGGAGGGTGTGAATGAAAGTAGGGTTATTTGAGTAACACTAGCTTAGTAAAATGTTACTCATGTTAGGGGCACAAAGTAGGTTAAGGAAATGTGATGAAATTGTTTCAGAGCATGGAGATGAAGAGGTATATAAGGTATGGAAACTGAAATTTAGTTTACATTGGGTAGGATGACAAGAAATTTGCGAATTTTGAATGAGCCAAGGTAATTGTAGTGACAACATGTGCATTTTCTGAACACATAACTAACGTCGTTTAATCGTGATTGCTAGCATTTCTGCAGTTTGAAGGATTTGGAGCCGAGGTTGATAGGAACCCAGTAGATAGTGGAAAGTGACTTGTTCATGCCCTCTGTATGGTTATTTTGAACTAAATACGATAATATAGAGCTGCTCTTAGTCTTTATCACATCTTTGCTCAACCTACCTGGAAGGTGTTTTCGTGACTTAAGAAAATTAAGTCCTAAGAGCAGTAGACGACGTACCTGGCTCCACAGGAGCATTTGAACTGATAAAGAAAACTGAAAGTGGTCGGTCTAGGCAGTTCACCTTTCAATCTCGGTGTCATCATTGGGCGTGTAGAAAACGTAACTTGCAGTTCACCAGCATTAAAAGTTCTAATTGATCTGCGTACATTATGAATTAGTGTCTAACTAGGCTCTTTACTGAATAAACAAGAGTTTTCTCGAAGCCGCCGGAATTTCTTTTCTTACTATTTTTGCAATAATATATTTTTCTATGAATTTATCAGGATTATCGTGTTGCATAAAGTTATCAGTTCTTCCTCAACGACATCTTCCGAACATTTAACCTCTGTTCTATAATAAAAGATATAATTATAAAATCTGCTGACTGTAGTAGAATGTAATCCTTTGTTACCTTACTTACTTATCGTATAAGAAGATAGTATTATTCAGTAGACATTTATATTGGTGTTTCTTCTGTTTTTAAAAATCCCGAACACTAGTACTGATGATGACAACCATTTGTTTAAACACTACTCTTTATGCCTACCGCTTAAGTATCAGATTGTGAGAAGAACATCTTCCGGTATCATCTTCATTAACTGTCAGGCTAAGTTTTAAATAACAGATGGGTTAGACCGCAGCTAAGGTTTTTTACTATTGCATATTTTCTAATCAGATGTGAGCAGTTTTGACGTTTTATTATTATTATATTATCTGAAGATATTATTTATCTTTTCGATTGGAGACAGATTGTCCCTGATAACCAACAAAACCGCTTAACTTTGAAAGACACAAGTGATGTAAAGGATGGAGTTCTGTGTCACAGTAATCTCTTTTCAATAGGGTAAATCGTTTGAATATTCATATGTATCCTTATGAAGAATGTAGAAAATAAAATGAATGTCGATTTCTATTACACATTATTTAATAATTGTTTACCTTTAAATGTCTAAGAATATGTTAAGTTCTTTTTCGCTCCTATTTTGGGTAGATTGCACTTTCACGAAATTAAATGACGTAGTTTATGGTGAAGACTGGTAGCTATGAATTTCAACCTCACATTGTCAGCAGTTCTTTTAACCAGGTTGTTGCATAGTCAGTTTCATTCTTAAACAAGGTATTACATTCAAAATAAGATTTATAAAATGTTAGGTTGATGATTTCCTCTCATACAGCCACTGCTTTTCTCTTAACAACCTAGGATGTGATTGACTGACTGTTATGACTCCTTTTTGCAGCCAACCATTCCTATACAAGTCTTTATGACTTTAGCTTACGACAAGTGAATAAGCTATATCCGT